TCAATATAGAGTAAATGTGGATCTATGTGAAAACACCTTGAATGTTTTGATTATTGGTTCCATTCAGAATCCATTGAAGAAGAAATACTCAACCTCGTACGTAACTGACCTGCTTACCCAGCCCTCATTTTGATGTACATCTGCCTTGTGCACAGACCACTGATTGTGAGGAATTTAGCAACGCTTGAGTGTTAACACTGCCGGAAGGTCAATGAGCCCCAGTCCCAGTTGCCCTATTTACTCAATTCCTCTCTCTCTTCAGTAGAAGGATTACCCTGCAGTATTTATGTGTGGTGCTTTCTGTCAAACTGCTCATAAATCCCTTCTTATAACTTGAAAAACTAGCATGTGTTAAAATGCAAACAAAAGGTAGCAGCTTGAAAGGAATTGAAAACTATGAGCCAAATTTTTGACCATTTTCACAAAAGCCCTGAAATATGTATTTCTGCTCCTCCATCCCCTACTCCACTGGAGGCCCCTAGGAGTCCCAGTATCCTGGTCCCAATGGGAACCTTGCTACCTAGTGAGGGAATCTTCTTGTTTCTTAGGCGAGTACCTTGTCCTAGAAGTGCCATCAGTGCTAAGATATTAAATCATAAAAGCATTAAGAATAGGGCCCATCTTTCACCCTCACTGATTTATAGTGAGGTCCTTTATCCAGCCATGGTAAAACATTAATTAGAGATGCAAACGTTTTGTGCAAAGAGTAAGCAGAGCTATGCTAAAAGAAAGGCACCAACCAAAGCCTTTGTATGCTTCGGTGTCCATGTTTCCCATTCATTTCACTGTCTGAATTTTAATGGAAAGAAATAAAAATGTGCATGGAGGATCCAATACTGAGAGTGCATTTTGATTGCTGTTTTCTACTCTTTTGAATAAAATATATTAAACAAAATGCAGAGTCACGTAGTTCAAGTTACTGTCTGCTTGTTCATAAAGGGAAAATGCTTCATATGCGGAAATTTCAAGTGAGAGGAGATGTCAGGTCTCCAAAAGCAGCTATTATCAAACAAAGCAGCCAGAAAATTAATGCCCTGGAGATGGCTATGACTGTGATCTTGGGTATCAGCCAGTGTCTTCATCTCTCTTGGTAGGAGCGTGTTTGTACCCACAATGCCTATCCAAGTGTTCTAGCTCTTTGACATACATTTCTTCCCCTCTTTATAGACTATTGCTTTAACTTTGTGGTTAATCTATTCACAAACAATTACTGGTCACTCACCATAAGTGACACACTGAAAAAGAATGGCATATGACAGCATTCAGTGGTTTTTTTGTTAAGTGTAAAGAGAAATAGGCCATTTAAAGACCTATCATCTTGATTCTCACCCTCCAAATCAAGGTCTCCCTTCCAGACACAGAACTGCCTATAACCCCTTGCCACATCCTCTTTTTGAGTGACTGTTTATTCTAGGCATCTAAAGAGAGGGAATCCCCATGTCAGTATGTGAGTGTGAATAGCTCCACCACTCCTTTCCCTCCAGGGCTGCAGAAATTGAAACATTCTGGACTGGGTTGGGCATGTGAGTATGTGTTGTCCTAAACAATGTCATAGTTCTGATTCCAAAAGATTGAAGAATTTGGCATTTTAGTTAAACCCACATTCTGGTTAGTTGAAAACTGCCACTTATTATAAATTACCAGGTTGCAAACAAATTGAGCAAAAGGCTTTCAATTTAGTAACTTCCTTTGCATTAATCAGGATAATGAACATCCAAGAATTTAATAACAAAATCATACACCTTTTTGGACACTTGATATTTTGCTTATGTATATCATGACTAATAGTAATGGCTGTAATTCATCACATTAGGAAGGTAATCAACAGCTTTAGGTATACCAAATTAAAATTGATTGAGACCCTCTGTGACCCTGGCAAAAACTAATAATTATATCATTATATAGTCAATACCCAAAACTCTTTTGTATTTTCTTTTGGTTTATGAAGATCTATTATATAAAGTATAATAAATACAAACCAAGCAAAATAGATGAGAACAAACTATGTTGATATATTTTATCCAAATAATTCTGCAGATAAAGTTATTCTCATGTTTGTCTGCCATTGGTGGAACATCTCCTTTGAATTAGATACTGTCTTGGGTGCTCTGCATATTTCACCATTTTATTCTCTCTGTATATCCATGAAGGCATATTGGTGCTAGCCCCATATTATACATGAAGAACTGAGCATCATGAATAGGTGAAGTGACCAGTCCAGGAGCCCAGTGCCATAGCCAAGACTCAAATCAAGGACTGTCTCAAATGGATGGGCAATGTATCTATTCTAACAAGTGAGCAACTATCCTGTTTAACGAGACTTTGTGGATGAGTATAGGAAACATCTCTCATGGATATATGCTCAAACATTGGAAGAAAATACACTCTTCTTAGAAATCATGTATTAGCTTTGATGATCCAGGTGTTTTTGAAGGATAAGCAAAACTGGTGGGCATTTAAGGGTCTCAGAGGATGTTCTTCTGAGAACAACAACTCTTGATCCACAGAATGCTCCCAAAATGTGCCAGGGACAAAGAAGAATGAAGGAAATGAAGAGTCATTAGCCACAATAAGCGTCCTCAAGAAGAACCCACATGTCATTCATCTCCACCTTCCAAGGAAATTGGTATGGCCTTGTATAGAAAAGAAACAAATATCTTCAATTAAGCCTGTGAAGATAATAGCAAATGTCACCCAGAAAGATTCTTGTCAAACATTTCACCAGCTCAAGCTCAGGTTCCTCCTTGTGTGAGGAGACACAAGGTTAGGGCAGTCATATATGTGATTGGGTAGAACTTAGCTCTTCCGACTATGAAAAAGTTAGATCATAACCATCAAAGGAACATTTTCCAAAAAGATTGCAAGAGTCAAACAGTGGCCCCTGACTCTGGACTTAACTAGTACTCTTGGCTATGTTAGACTCCACAGTGTGGCCAGAAGCAGTATCAGGACATTAATTTTTACAGCATGGGGGAGCTGAAAATTTGGGAGTAGAAAGGAAACTTCTCTGTTTCTACCATAGTGTTCCTGCATTGTTTACTCCTTTGCAAGGCAAGGAACCTTGAACTAAGTTATAGTTAGTTTATGCTTCTTCTCCTTTCCCATTACCCTGATTCTTCCTTTATGGCAGAGAAACAAGTCATCTCATGATTGCCTTGGCCTGACTCAACCTCTCTGGCATCTGCAGAGCTTCAGAAAGGAGTCAAAACTGTACAACCTGGCCAGTTGAATCTCCCTTAAATAAGGAAAATGAGCATAATCAAAGAACAAATGTCACCTTTCCTCATCTCTGCCCCTCTTCTGCCTGAGCCCTGGGCGGAAGGAGTTTACCAAACCCCAAAATTTAAGTTGCAGAGTAACTGATTATAATTCTCATAATTCCCATATTTTGTCACATTCTGTAATTAACTTAAATTTATCAATAAAAGTCTATGGCTGCCTTATATTTGCAATTCACACTTATGAATACTTACCTACTAAAAATATACAATGACTTGTGGGACAATTGGAAATTCAAAAACTAACTATACTTAATAATATTAAGGAAATATTAAATTTCTATCTAAGAGTGAGATTGCTATTGTGATAATATTAGATTTTCTAAAAGTGTGTAGCTTTTAAATCTTCACAATAAAATATTTCCAGATTGAACTACATGATATCTGTGATTTGCTTCAAAATAACATAGGAGGAGTGGGAGCAGGTGGAAGTATGTGTGAAACAAGACTGGACTTGAAGTCATAATGCTTAAAGCTGGGTGACAGGTTCATTGTGCTAGTTTTTTATTCTTTTTGGTTTTAGACATATGTTAAAATTTTTCCATAATAAGAGTTTTTTTTAAGAACCCAAATTGGTTAGGGTTATTTTTAATTAATATTAGAAAATCAAATCTTTCAAAAATACTTTAAAACATATGCCATCAGGAAGATCTAAAACTGTACCTAAAATACTACAAATGTATACTTCATATGTATCTATAAATGGAAGAAGAAATGTAAATTATAGTTGCCCTGAGTCGCTGAAAATATACATTGTTTTTCTTTATTCATGATTGCTTTTTTTTGTATTTCCCAAAATTGCTAGAAATATACCACATTTGTAGCATTACAAAGTTATTTTTATATGTAAGCTTTGCTTGTGACATGTTAGGTGATAAAAAGAATTACAGAACTGTTTATGAGATAGAGTCCCAATTCTGTTTTACAGTGTGTACACATGGTGTATGTGTGGGTGTGGGTGTGTGTTGTGTGAATGTGTGTGTGTATTTAAAATAAATGGTGTTAAATTGTTAATAGTAGTTATCTCTGTATGGTGGTATGTTATTGCTCATTTTTATTTGTGTTTCTTTGCCTATGTGTTTCTTCGATTAATAAGTAAAATGTTATAATCAAAAAAATGGTGTGAAAAATTAAAGCTATTTTTAGTATAGTTCTTTATAAGTTAAAGACTAAATAGACAGTATAACAGACAAGGAACTATGTAGTATTGTGTTCAACTTTTCATCACTGTAACAAATATTTGAGAAATGATTTAAAGGAGAGAGATTTATTTTGGCTCACAGATTCAGAGCTTTTAGCTCATGGTTGCTGTTCCATTGTTTGGAGCCTGGGCCTGTGATGAGGCAGTAGATCATGGCAAGAAGGCATGGTAGAGTGGTTGCTGACTTCATGACAGTCAGGAAACAAAAAGAGACAAACAGGAAGAGGCCAGGACAAGATATAACCCCTAAAGTTGTCCTATGTGACCTACTTCCTCCAACTGGGCACACTCTCCTAAAGTTTCCACAATCCTCCAAAATAGAGTTACCAGCTGGGGACCAAGGCTACACACATGAGCCTTTGAGGGACATTTTATATTGAAACCATAATAAACATACACTCATAAAATAGGTAAGTCCAAAGGATTATGAATTCTCATCAAAACTACATGTTAAGCTTTTAAACAAGGCTCATGCCTTTATATACTTAATAAACCTGTTTTCATTTTCTGTCCATCTCCAGGTATATCCATGCCAATCCCAGTCTTTGGGCTGCAGGATGACTCCAAGGTCTTTAAGGAGGGAAGCTGCCTACTTGCAGATGATAACTTTGTCCTGATTGGCTCCTTTGTGTCATTTTTCATCCCCTTAACCATCATGGTGATCACCTATTTTTTAACTATCAAATCACTTCAGAAAGAAGCTACTTTGTGTGTGAGTGATCTCGGCATGCGGGCCAAGTTAGCTTCTTTCAGCTTCCTCCCTCAAAGTTCCCTGTCTTCAGAAAAGCTCTTCCAGAGGTCTATCCACAGGGAGCCTGGGGCCTATGCAGGCAGGAGGACTATGCAGTCCATCAGCAACGAGCAAAAAGCTTGCAAGGTGCTGGGCATCGTCTTCTTTCTGTTTGTGGTGATGTGGTGCCCATTCTTCATCACGAACATCATGGCTGTCATGTGCAAAGAGTCTTGCAACGAAGATGTCATCGGAGCCCTACTCAATGTGTTCGTGTGGATCGGTTACCTCTCTTCAGCCGTCAACCCACTCGTCTACACACTGTTCAATAAAACCTACAGGTCTGCCTTTTCACGGTACATTCAGTGTCAGTACAAAGAAAACAAAAAACCATTGCAATTAATTTTAGTGAACACTATACCGGCATTGGCCTATAAGTCTAGTCAACTCCAAGCAGGACAGAAAAAGAATTCAAAGAAAGATGTCCAGACAACAGATAAGGACTGCTCCATGGTTGCTCTAGGAAAACAACATTCAGAAGATACTTGTACGGACATCGACACCGCGAATGAAAAGGTTAGCTGTGTGTGATAGACTGGTTGTCATGGCAACCGAGGAGCACAAGCTGAACAAGTTTCCCCCTACTGGGGGGAAAAATAGAATGACTGGAAAAAAATAAGCCAGTCTAGTGGAACCAACAATAATATCTACATGCCTCATCACATTGTGTCAATGAAAAGCAGGGCTAAATGCCACAAAATGTGCACTTGGAAAATGTTCTCCTGGCATTTCAGCTGTGAGCTTTATGATAGTTTTAACATTGTCAATGATGTCTTTAAAATAATTAGCTTTTACTGTACAATTATAATGAGGCCCTAAATAACTCTAAACTGACTTTTATGATCAAATAGAAACCTTGCTGCTATGTTGTTGGTTGATAGCATGGAACTGAGTTGGCTACCTATTGCTGTAAATAAAAATAGCTATACATAGTGAAAATTTTGTTGAATATAATGGCCTCTTAAAAAAAGAAAAATTCTCTTTATAACTCACCATGACACATACTTTGAAAGGAAAAAAAAAGGACACTAAAGACAGTATTATGAAATCTATATTGCTACAATAATTAAATGAAATACTTGACAACATTTTTCATTCCTGCTTTTTCATAGATTCCATTTTGAAATATTTGTAAGATTGTTGGCATTTGTGCATTTCAAGTTAATTCTTCTCAGAAGTAAAAAGATTTTAAATGTTATTGAATAACTATTGCTGCTTTTTCTTCTATTTCTTGTGCTTTACTCTGTATTTCCAATATGGTCTTGTTTAGTACTTGTTCTTCTATGTAAACTATCAAAAGGATAATTTAACATTACCAAATACATTTCTAGAAATTGCTTCTCTGAGACAGCACCATTAGAGGTATTTGATAACTTGCTATGAAACGACTACATTGCATACATACTCTTTTGAGCAGTAAACAGTATGTTGATATTACTGTATCAGGGTTGAAGAATAAACTCAGGTTTCTGGCTGTCGGCAGTAGTAGCATCTAAGGATATATCTGTAAGATGCAGATGACTTTCCTACTGACACTTATCAGATAAAATGGATGCTTTCAGAACAATTTATAATATTTATTAAAACCATTCGACTTGGTTGGACAATTATCTATTGAGTATATACTTTTGGGTGGAGGAATTTTCTAGGTACTAGAGATATAAATTAAAACAAGATCCTTGCCCCTGGGCTAGCAGAGTGGCTCAGGTGGTAAGAGCATCTACCTAGCAAATGTAAGACCCTAAGTTCAAACCCCAGTGCTGGGGGAAGGAAGGGGGATGGGGAAGATCCTTGCCCCTAAAGAAAATGACTAAAGTAAAATGGTCATTGTAAAAACTACAAACAAACTTATTTTGAGAATCAGTTCAATTTATTCCTTCTTACCTGGTTCAGAAACAAGTTTGTTTCAACTTTGAGAGTAGTTTTCTCAGTTAGTTTCTCTGATTGGCTACCAATGGATGCCAAAAAAACAAGGAAGGGGAAAATATCACCTGAGAATTGAACTTTACAATTGATATGGAAATATGCACCTCAGTCTGGACACAACTTATGACTACCAAAGTTTTGAACAAAATTTTTGTTCCATCTCTCTAAAAATGCACTTATTTTAGAATTAAAAATTAGATTCCACGATTAAAAAAAATACTGTAATTTGTTGTGAAAAAGCTTAACAGTGGTTAATTCACCTTGATGGTGTAATATTCAAGATTAAATTGTACATCTTTGTTGAAACAGATACTAGATACATTATTACAATGCCGAAGACTTTCTGTTAAATATAAAATTGTTTTTGCCCTAAACATTTGTAAAAAAAAATCTATCAATTTTAAAATTAAAGAAAGTAGAGAGCATCATTGTATAATTTGGAATGCATTTAGGTTGTCCTAATTACGTTCTTATAGATATGCTGAGTTATGGCTCACCACTTCAAAGCTAGAATCTGTAATATGACACTGATACCAAGGTTGCATTTACACTAAACTCCTCTTTACATTACACCATACTCATGAAGATACAAATCTTAAAAAGTCTCTGCTCTAATGTATTTTGCCTTAGTTTTAAACTCCACACATCATCATATATTAGAGAAAAGATTACAGATTCTACCCAATATACTCAATCTTGTTCAGAACATAAATCTTGAACATAAATCCTGCCTGACAGATGTCTTTTGACTACACATATATTACAAGTGTGTATGTGTTTTTTCTCTCCATAAATATCTACTCAAGTGTATATAAGATAAATGTGTATCTGTATATATGTACAGATATGTTCCCATGCACTTTATTCAATATTTATATATTTATATGGAGGAAAAGCAAGTCAATGAAAACACTCAATATATACACATGTGTGCATGTTTGTACTATGTCAATTTAAATGTGAATTCACATTCTAATATTTCTATGACCTTCCATTACTGACGAAAGAGGTTAGAGTGTAACACAGGTATACCCTTTAAATAAACTGGAAGTTGCTCTGGTTTTATGGAAGGACTTTAACACAATTCTATGAGGGTGGTGAAACAATAGTCCAAATATATATATATAAACATATATATATATACATATATAAACATATATATATACACATATATATATGTAGTTTATTGATCTTAAATCAAATGGTAACTTGGGGCCCTTTGTTGAGTCTGGGGACTTCCTGACTACTATGGCTTTTTAAATATCCTCCTCACCCCAGTGTAACACTCCTCAAATGACCTATGGGTCCAGAAATGAAAGAATTCACTCTTAGCCAATACTATAAAAACAGAGTAACAAACCTTGCTGTACTTTAAATGGATAGATTCTTCTACTTTTAAAGAGAGGAATTAAATGCCATAGTTAAGGAAAACTCTTTTTAATGCGTATGTAATCTGTTTGGCCACAGCGCCATCTCATGGTCATTTGTTTAAATGCTACCATAGCCAAATCTAAGTTACTGTCCTGCTTTTAGCAAAGGGTGCTTCTCCCATTTGTGCATCACTGAAACATATTTATTAAGTGTTAAATTATTCTGTGCCATATGTAACAAATACCGTGAAGTTTATTTTATGTACTGATTTTAATCTATTCTAAAAGACTTCAAGAATGAATGATTAATTGTAAATAAAGTATACTCAAAAATGAATGCAATTTTTTGTGAGTCTGGAGCTGTGTCTACTAAAAGGAATTGCCCAAAACCTTTCAGGTCATCAGACTGGGAATTCCAGGTTACATACTGATATTTTGAAATTAAGAAATCTGTGCTTCTGGAACTCAGCCACATCATGGTGCCATGACCGGCCTGGACCAATTGGCTTTATGTTTAGCTTCCAGTGATCTACAGAAGACAAATGCTCTGTGCTTGATCACTGTGTCTGGTTCTACACAGCCTGGGAACATAGAGAACCACTGATGCCTCAAGACATGCACACAGGTGTGCACATGCACAAATACATTACCATGTGAACACATACACTCCTTCACAGGACCCAAAGTAAGCCAAGGAGACCTAGTATCATTAGATAAACTGGAAATTTGTCCTGATTCACCACCACCTTTATGTGTGGCTTCAAGTCAGTCAAGACAAACAGTCATCTCAAAAAACAAGGTGAGTATCATGGCATACATCCATAATCCCAGCTACGCAAGAGGCATAGGTAGGAGGATCTCAGGCCAAGTCAAGCCTGAGATGAAAACGTGAGATTCTATCTAAAAAAACAACTAAAGAAAAAGGTGAAGCAAGGCTCAAGTGTTAGAGCACCTGCCTAGCAAGCACAAGGCCCTGAATTCAAACTCCAGTACTGAAAATAAACAGATAGATAAACAAAAACTTTTTACTTCTGCTTTGTCCCTGCCATGATACAGAGTTCCCTTCATTGGACTCTTCATTGCTTTCATCAAAATTTACCCATCCTATGTCCTTATTTCTCATGTCTCTGCTCTCTTGTGGGGTATAATGAGTAACTGAAGTTGATAAAACATGGTGCTGCATTCACATCTCGAGCTGTGCACCTGGACCATAATCCAAAAGACAATCATTTTAGACACCAAGAAGACAAGAAAGAAATTTGAGCGCAATAAATGTTTTGCTGGTATCCCTCTAATGACCTACAGAAAAAAAAGTACTCTCAGACACTATAATTTATAAAAAATTTTATAACAGCATTGAATTTTAATTCACAATAATAACTTTGAAAGAAACAACCACAGCCTGTAAGATTTCATTCCAAGTAGGAAATTAGTTAATTACTAAGGTTTCCCTCAAGTTTAATAGCCAATGGTATTTATCACAGTAAATATGTAATAGTTTTACTATTCTTTGTTAATTTCTGATTATTTTCATGTGGTTTGTGCAAACAAATGATGCCTCCCCCCTCCCCCACCAATAATATGCACCCCAATCTTAGGTCTGTCCTTCATTTTTTTGTATTTGACACCAGTGTGTTCACATAAGCTAACACATTATAGGCCATCTTCCTACCTAATTGGAGACTCTTTTCATGTGGCCCAACTGCAGACAAAGGAAATTTAGGTCCAGTCTACTTCACATCTGACCTTGAACAAGTCTCAGCCTCTCTTCCCTCAAGTGCAGAATAAAGGACTTAGAGATAATGTTCTCATCAGGATTCACTTGAACACTGTCAAGAGACCAGTCAAGACTTTGATGAACAGCTTCATGTGCAAAGATCACTCTAGAACCCACAACTCTCACTTTCTCTTAAATTCTCTAGATGAATCTCAAATGAGTGATAACTACCTTTTATACAAAAATCATGAGATAAATCAAATTATTATGTAAGGAGTTTCTAAGAGATGAGACTAGGAGGCATCTCTCAACATAAGTGTTCTTGCTAACCTTCTCATAGTTGGCCTTTCCTTTGTGCAGTTTCATAGCTGCTATGAGACACCGTGTTGCTCTTTCTAACAGCCTCCCCCTTCTCCAGCTTCCTAAAGAACAATTCTTCCCACTATTTGAGCTCGGTTTCCTTGAAGGGTTAAAATTTAAAAGCCCAAATAGATTTAGCACTCATGGTGCAGAGCATCTCTTTTTAAAAAGCTAGATCTTTGTTGAAATTGAGCCAAGGCCATTTAAGTTTTGTTTATAATTAAGAATATGAGATCTTAAAAATGATGTTTACTCTGTCATCTAGAGAACAGCACAGCATGTACTTCCTGTCCTATATTTCTTTCTAATATTGAAAAGTAATATATGCATTATTCATCTTGTCTTAGTTGGAGTGACCCTAAGAGCAGAGCCAAGGCTTGGGTGCAGATCACTGATACGGGAGGTGACCCTGGAAAACAAATAGAATTAGACAAGGAAGAAGGAAAAATCTACTTCAGTGTGTGATATCAAATGTGTCGGGCATGGAATCAAGATGC